GGACGCAGATTTAATAATGTTGGGGCTGGCAACGCACGAGGCTCACTTTTATATACTGAGAGAGAGAGTAACGGAGACAGCAGCAGCTCAGACGCATGCAGCAGCAGCAGCAGCTGCTGCTGCTGCTGCTGCTGCAGACGCTAAAGCAGAAGCTGCTGCTGCTGCAGCAGCAGCAGAAGATACAGAAACAGCAGCAAGTAACGGGGAAAAAAATAAATCAAAAAAAAGAGAAAGAGAGACAGATGATGAGCTGCAGCAGCAGCAAGACAAGCAGCAGCAGGAGCTGCTGCTGCTGCAGCAGCAGCAGCAGCTGCAGCAGCAAATTGAAATGGAGACAATATACAAACCGCTGCAGATGATTCAGCTGCCCGTGCTGCGCGAATATCTACAATACGAGCTTTGTGATAATGTAAATACTACTGTCTCCTTTTTTTGTCTCTTTTTTTTGTCTCCTTTTGTCTCTCTTTTTGTTTCTTTAGTTGTCTCCTTTTGTCTCCTTTTTTGTCTCCTTTTGCATCTGTTGTCTCTTTTGTCTCCTTTTGTCTCTCTTTTTGTTTCTTTATTTGTCTCCTTTTGTCTCCTTTTTTGTCTCCTTTTTTGTCTCCTTTTGTCTCCTTTTTTGTCTCCTTTTGTCTCCTTTTGTTTCTTTATTTGTCTCCTTTTGTTTCCTTTTTTGTCTCCTTTTGTTTCCTTTTTTGTCTCTTTTTGTTTCTTTAGTTGTCTCCTTTTGTCTCTCTTTTTGTCTCCTTTTGTTTCCTTTTTTTGTCTCTTTTTGTTTCTTTATTTGTCTCCTTTTGTCTCCTTTTTTGTCTCCTTTTTTGTCTCCTTTTTTGTCTCCTTTTTTGTCTCCTTTTTTTGTCTCCTTTTGTCTCCTTTTGTCTCTCTTTTTGTTTCTTTAGTTGTCTCCTTTTGTTTCTTTATTTGTCTCCTTTTGTCTCCTTTTGTCTCTCTTTTTGTTTCTTTATTTGTCTCCTTTTGTCTCCTTTTGTCTGCTTTTTTGTTTTGTCTCTTTTTGTCTCTTTAGCTGTCTCCTTTTGTCTCTTTATTTGTCTCCTTCTGTCTCTTTATTTGTCTCCTTTTCTCTCCCCTTTTGTCTCTCCTTTTGTTTCTCTTTTTGTCTCTCTCTTCGGCTGATGCTGCACCTGCTGCTGCATCTGCTGCTGCTGCATCTGCTGCTGCTGCATCTGCTGCTGCAGCACCTGCTGCTGCTGCATCTGGTGCTGCGGCTGCAGCATCCCCCTCTTCATCTGCTGCAGCAGCAGCAGCAGCATCACCCTCAGCAGCATCTCCCTCAGCAGCATCTCCCTCACCAGCAGCAACAGCAGCAGCAACAGCAGCAGCAGCAGCAGCAGCAGCAGCATATATTCTGTATGTGTTGTGTGTGTGTATATAGGGACGCTACGACTTGGATAGAGTAATCGATGATTTTATATTTTTATGTTTTTTATGTGGAAATGATTTTCTTCCTCATTTACCTTTTTTGTCGATACACCGCGGAAGTATAGATTGCTTAGTTCAGGTGTATAGGGAGCTCAGACCCCACACACTCAACAACTATCTTATATTTAATAATTATATTAATTTACAACAATTACAAATCTTTCTCGCTGCTTTTGAGAAAGTAGAACAAGAAATCATAAAAAAAGAACTAACTAGAAAGGTATTTTATTTTATTTTATTTTATTTTGTTTTTTATTTTTTTATTTTTTTATTTTTTTGTTTTTTTGTTTTTTGTTTGTCTGTGTATATGTTTGTGTTTAATCTTTCTCGCTGCTTTTGAGAAAGTAGAACAAGAAATAATAAAAAAAGAACTAACTAGAAAGGTAATATATATATATATATATATATATACATCTGTGTATTTGTTTGTTTTTTTATTTATTTATTTTGTTTATTTTTATTTATTTTTATTTGTGTAAATGTATTTTATATTTCTCGCTGCTTTTGAGAAAGTAGAACAAGAAATCATA